TATACCTTTCATTTTTTTGGTCTTGTTTTGTTTTACTGGACTGGCTAAGACCCCTTTATTATAGTATTAGGTAAGAGTGATAATAAGAATTCTTTCCTTGGGGGCACCTGGGTGGCTCAGTTAAGTGTCTGCCTTTGGCTCAGGTCATGATCCTGGAGTCCCAGGGTCGAGCCCCACGGCTGGCTCCCTGCTCAGTGGGGAATCTGCTTCTCCCTCGTCCCCTGCTCCGACTCTCTCTGTCTCTCTCACTCTCTCAAACAAACAAACAAACAAAGAATTCTTTCCTTTGTTCTGATTTTAAAGGAAATGCATTTAGCATCTTGCCTTTGAGTATGGTTTTTGGTGTAGGTATTGGAAGACACTTTTTGTCAAGTTAAAGAAGTTCCCGTTCTATTCCTGGTTTGCTAGAAGATTCCCTTTAAAAAAACAAAACAAAACCAGGAATGGTGATGATCATAAGGTTACCAACCTTTCTTTTGTTAATGTGGTACAGATTACTTTAGAAGGCTTTTAATAAATTCAAAATCATGACTTAGGTTAACAGAGCACAATGTTGAAAATGAGAGCTTTATTAAATCAAGGCTGAGGTAAAAACAACGAAGAGTCTGAAATTACTGTAGGATCTTTTATTAACAGAATCATTTTTAGTCAATAAAGGGATTTGAGGTTAACTCAATTTTAAAGAGCTCTAAATCAAAAGGTTTTTTCCCAACTGGGAGCAGGTTCACAAGTGCCAGTTTGCCAAGCCATTGGTAAAAATGTCTGCTTCTATAATATAAGCTGTTTTTGAAAAACTGCGTCCATGAAATAGAGTGGAAAGTGTAACGCATTGCAGTTAGGAGAGGATTTCATCCCCACCGCCAGGAACAGCACTGCCTCCTGACTCCTCAGAGGCCAGCAGTAAGAAGTCCTGGGAGAGGGATGCCTGGGGGGCTCAGTCGGTTGAGCGGCTGCCTTTGGCTCAGGTCCTGGTCCCAGGGTCCTGGGATCGAGTCCTGCATCGGGCTTCCTGCTCAGCGGGGAGTCTGCTTGTCCCTCTCCCTGTGTCTGCTTCTCTCTCTGCTTGTGCTCTCTCTGTCTCTAACGAATGAATAAATAAAATTTAAAAAAAGAAGAAGAAGTCCTGGGAGAGTAAGAGAAAGGAACGGGGAGGAAGTTGGCACAGCCCACGACACGCCCTCTCTGACTGCCTGTTAACTACAGGGGTCAGGCTATGATATCTCTGGCTTGGTTTGGGTCCTACCTTGTCAAATATACATCTCGTGGAAATGCAAACACACTTGTATTTCCTCATGCCCCAAAATGAATGGCTTTAGTCAAAGGTGATCATTTTCAAAAACCAAATACGTTTTTTGATGAGTAAGTATTGAATGGGAAAACAAAATGATTCTTGTTCTTCTGGTTCTGGATATTAGCCCAGAGTTTTGTACTTCCCTGTAATACAGGAGAACATAATACCTCATACACGCTCCACTTTCGGATTCCACAGATATACTAAGTAGGCCAGAATTAGCACAAAATTAGCCTACCTAGAAAAATCTTCTTGAAAAAAAAAAAAAACAATTCATCGAAAATATTTAAGAAGAGATCAGATGGCTACAAGTGTCACTTCCACGGGAAATGAATTAATGATTTGATCATTTATCAATTAGTGAAAACAGTTTTTAGAAACATGTTTTTGCTCTATTTTTCATGATGTTTCCCCAATAGAAATATTATAAAACAAGAACAACGGGGCACTGGAGACAGAATATGGGGGTTTCAGTTACGGTTGTGCCTTTTCCTAATTGTGTAACCTGGGCAAAAAATTTCACTCCCATAAACCTCTCTTTTCTCATCTATAAAATGGTCACTACAGAGTTGTTAGAAAGATTACGTGGCTCGGGGTATGTTGAATGCCCAAGACAACAGATGCTCAGAACACAGTATTTCTAATTCTCTTCTAGTAAAGCCTCATTATCCACCCTCTGCAGGACAGCAGGGTGATCGTCAGCAGGGGCTCTGAGACTACACTACCTGAGTTGACTCCTGGCTCCACCATCTCACCAGCTGTGTGACCGAGGGCACTTGACTTAAATGCTCCATGCCTCAGTTCTGTCATCTGTGAAATGGGCACCATAAAAGCACTTTCCTCATAGGGTGGTATTGAGAATTCAATGGGTTTATTTATGTAAGATGCTTAGAGTGGTGCTTGGCACACAGGAAATAACTATATAAGTGTCAGCTAGGATTATATTAAGACACTCATTGTTTATTGCATTGGCATATCTCAGAATTATTATATTTGTAACTACAGTTGTGATCAATGATATGTGGATGGGTGTCATTTTCTGACTTGAAAGCCAGGGGCAGTAGTGAAGAAGGTGGGGAAGCAGAGGCGGCCCCACACCCCCCTCACCTTCAGCTGTGAATGCTTTGGAAATAGCCAGCTTTTTTTTTTTTTGCAGATTCTAGCTCTGGGCATAGGGAGAAAGGAGCATTACACTCCCCCATGGGTACGATTTCACCCCCACTAAGCCATTGCTTTAATGAACACCAATATTTTTTCGTTCCATTGTAAATGGTGTTCATCTGAAAACCGTATTTTAACAACATTAAAATAATTTTTTTAAATGAAAAACGAATTAACTCTAAACACGCCACCTGACACAAAAACCGTTTCATTGTTTCTATTTCCCTCTAGGTGTTGTTTATGTGCCTATGCTGGGTAAGTTTAGCCAATTGCCATCACCGTGTGTGTACAAGTCTATACGCTGTTTACTGTGATCAATAACCCTTTCCCCTGACTTTACAATTATTATTATTATTGATGGCTGCACAGGCAGGTTAATAGGCCATAATTGCTCCTTTTTTGAAAATCACAATGTCCACATTTTACATGCTGTAGGAGAACTCTACATGTGAATGATAGTAAAGGACAGCAATGATCAAAGAAAAGGCAATCAAAGACCCAAACCTGCTGTGGCAGGGGAGAAGAGAAGGGAGGGAGTATTGGATGGCCTAAGAGCTGTGAAATCCTATAATTTGATTTTGCAAAAAGCTTCTACCCCCAGTGTTTTATTTAACAGACCTATTTTTACATGTAAGAGAATTAAGAAGTTGCATGTGATGGGTACGTGGAGGCTCATTATACTGTTGTCTACTTTTGCGTCTGCTTGAAGCTTTCTGTAATTAAAAAGGTTGAAAAACAAATGATGTGCTTATAAACAATTTTTCCTACACCCTTGGAAATAGTTTGAAGTGTCTCTCGATGAGCAAACACTAGCCCACATGGCTCCTTGGTGAGAATTTTCAAAGTCCCTTTTCCTCAAGGGTCCCCCTCTTCCAGGAAATCGTAGAGGTGTGTACGTGTGCAGTGTCTACACTGAGCAGCTTCATTGGATGCGGCACCCCTGTGCTAGGCACAGCTTCCCACCATCGGCAAAGGCCTGGCTTGGGTACCACTAAACCACTTTTAAGAACAACTTCTTTGGGGCACCTGGGTGGCTCAGTTGGTTAAGCGACTGCCTTCAGCTCAGGTCATGATCTCAAGGTCCTGGGATCGAGCCCCACATGGGGCTCCCTGCTCAGTGGGAAGCCTGCTTCTCCCTCTGACCCTCCCCCTGCTTGTGTTCCCTCTCTCGCTGTCTCTCTCTCTCTGCCAATTAAATAAATAAAATCTTAAAAAAAAAAAAAGAACAACTTCTTTAAGAAGGTGAGGCAGGGAGTGGAGGCGAGGGGTGGAGGCCGTAGCTGCTTGGGCATCTGTGGCCAGTACCGGGAAAGGGGTGACCAGCCGTAAATGATGGCACACCAGGCCCTGCCCTCCCCAGCCCACCTTGGGCTGAGACCATCGGTCCTGCAGACACAACACACCTGGCCTGGACATTGCAGACATTTGAGGATGAGGAGGCCTGCATCATAACCATGAGTGGACAATCAAGGAAAACCAGGCATATGAGGAAAAACAGCAACGCGCTGTTGTTGTTATTATTAATGTTATTAATATGCTGTTATTATTAATGTTATTATTAATGAATAATAATTACCAGAATCATAATTATTATTGCTAATGTTCATTCAATGCTGACTATATGCCAGAAGATGTTTTCATCATTTTGCGTATGTTATTTTTTTTTCTTTTTAGACTTTATTTATTTATTACAGAGAGAGAGCACGCAAACATGAGCAGGGAGAGGGGTAGGGGGAGAAGCAGGCTTCCCACTGAGCAGGGAGCCCAATATGGGGCTCGATCCCAGGACCCCGGGATCATGACCTGAGCTGAAGTCCCGACTTCTATCCCTCTTACAGGACAACATTTTCATTTTCTGAAATTACTTTCCAGTTTTTGTCCATGGCCAACTTGCTTTTTTATTTTATTTGTATTTTTTATTTATTTATTTAATTTTTTAAAAGATTTATTTATTTTTTGAGAGAGAGAGAGCATGCACATGTGAGCACACAAGTCGGGGGGTGGTTGCCGAGGGAGAGGGAGAGAGAATCTCAAGCAGATTCCCCATGGAGCACGGAGCCCCACGCAGGGCTCAATCTCATGACCCTGAGACCATGACCTGAGCCAAAACCAAGAGTTGGTCGCTTAACTGACTGAGCCACCCAGGCGCCCCCCGAAATTGTTTTTTAAAATGACGTTATTGTTTATATACAAATGACGCCTGCTCGTAGAGAAAGCTCCAAGCAATAAAGTACAAGTAAGAGCAAAATAAAGAGTTGATGTTTAAGACCAGAATGCTACTTCCATCATGTGACCCTCTTTTGTGTCTATTGTTAATGTGTGAGTCACTGAAGTAAAATATTACTCCATGGCACTTGAATGTTTTTGCTAATTACTGAGTAAAGGCAAACTTAAAGTTCGTGTTATGAGGTGGCTAAATACCTGACATACCAAAAACATCTATCAGGACTCAGATTATATGACTTTTTCTAGAATAAAAAAATAAAGTCCTTTGTACAAGACATTGGAAACAATAAATTCTTCTTGATATTTTCTTTCTGTTCATTAGAGACCCGAGACTTCCATCACTAAACAAAAAGCCCTAGATATCTACTGCCTGGCTTGTAAGACTTCTGAGAGAATAAGGTAATGCTTTTCTTAGTGTACGAGAGGATATTGTTGTCTTATATAACTCCTGGGGAAAATTTGTTATTCAGATTTCTGTGAAAGATTTGAGGCTGAAAAGAATCTGTTGAGAAAGAAGAAAGATTCATAGTATCTCATCATTTTTTTTTAAATTTTCACTTATTTGTCAGAGAAGGGGAGAGAGAGAGAGAAAGAGAGAGCACAAGCAGGGGGAGTAGCAGGCAGAGGGAGAAGCAGGCTCCCCGCTGAGCAAGGACCCCCCCCCTATGCGGGGCTCGATCCCAGGACCCTGAGATCATGACCTGAGCTGAAGGCAGATGCTTAACCGACTGAGTCACCCAGGCGTCCTGTATCTCATCATTTCAAAGCTGAAAGGACTTTGCATACTGTCCAGTTCACCACTTATATTTGGAGATAAAGAAACAGTCCAGAAAGGCTGAGGAGGATGCCAAAAGTCACAATGAACTGAGACCAGAAGTCATGTGTCTTGATTTGTAGTCTTTGGAGACGTTTATTCCTATTTGTGTCTTGGAAAATAGGGAGAGAGGGGGGGAAAAGGAGCAGGTAGCTGAAATAAGAGCTCAAGACAGGCTGTATTATTTGTTGTTCAGAAAGTAAAGTCTTCTGGAAAGTTCCAGAACTTCTGAATAAAAGGCAGATTTCCAGGATTAGACAAGTGGGTACCTAGAACTCTAAGAGATTTCAGAACGTACCATCTTGTCCTTTTAAACCAACATTAGCCGATTTCAAAAGCACTTCCCATCTCACCCCTGAGGGGTAGCCCTTATTCACACCTGTGAAGAGAGAAAGGAGAGAGCATGGGTCCTGGTGTCCCCCATCCACCTGTACCGGTTTCCAGTGGGGACTGAAGGATCTGCGGCTCCCTGCGGCAGGCCTTGGGCCAGCATTGAAAGATGTTATGCAAGCAGGTGGTAATACTAAATAAATGCTTTTAGAGATTTTAGGGATCTCACATCCCTGTGATACCTTGTTAATCTCACTTGTTGAAATCAGCATAGGTTTTAAACAAGTAGAGGGCTGCTCACTAAATTTTAGCCCCACCACGGTTGCTCCCTTGGGGCTCAAGGGCCACATTCTTTAAGGGGGTGCTCAAATCATAGCTGTCCACAACCCTAAGAGCCACTAATGTTTTCACAGGTTACCTTCAAGAGCATCAGACACCCGATTCAAAGGATGGAGTAGCACCCGAGAGACAGACTACTGCCCCGTGAACAGGAGTTTTGAGTGTGGGAACCTAGAAATTCTTCCAGTGGGCTTGAAGCTTGCTATGTTTGGCATCTTCATCATTGTGATCTTTGTCTACATAACGGTGGAAAGGAAGCCGTTCTTTGGCTAAGTGCTTTAGGAAGTAACCGGGTGCAGGAGAGAACAGAAAGACTGCTCCGAAGGGGGATGCCCAGCCCCATAGCTTCCCACTATGCTGCTCTCACAAATCCGTACCCAGCTCATAATCTCAAAGCCGAAGGGCCTTACACACTGTCTAGTTCACCACTCGTGCTTCAAGATAAGGAAATAGGCCAGGGCGGTAGAGGGGAATGAACAAAAGTCATAATGACCTGAAACCAGCATCCACGGTGGCAGGAGCGAGGGAGAGAACGAAGCACTCTTGTCCAAGAGCTTGAGGACAGGGAATTCCCTGAGTCATGCTGGCCATCATTAAAAACGCTGCCACATTTGAGCATACTTCTGAAAAGAAAACCACGCCTGGTGTTTTTTCTTTTGAACTGCGGTGCTAAGCCCATAGGTCCCACTTTATTCACTCTTCCAATGGTAGAGTCGACTATGCGAAAGGCCACAACACAACAGGTAAATAACAAAAAAAGAATGTGTCTGGTTTGGCAAACACAGAGCCGTATCCAGCATCACCAGTCGTGAAAGGAAAACAATTTAGAACAAGACAGCATTTTTGCCAACCTTGCCAAACTAGCAAGGTTTGAAGAAATTAATGCCCGATGAGGGAATGTTGGCATTGTGGCCTCCGGGAGCAGGCAGAGCTGGGGAGGCGCCTGGCTCCCCTATTTACTGGTTCTGTGAACTTGGGTGAGTTCCTTGTTCTCTGTGCTTCAGTTTCAACTTCTGAAAGTAGGGATAGAATAGACCTCTTAGGGAATGAAGAATTTGAAGAAATAATCCATACAAAGTACTTAGTGTGATCCACACCTAATGGGTAATAAGCCTTCAAGAAATGCTCAAACAGGGGGGCCTGGGTGGCTCAGTCGTTAAGCGTCTGCCTTCGGCTCAGGTCATGATCCCGGGGTCCTGGGACTGAGCCCCACATCAGGCTCCCTGCTCGGCGGGAAGCCTGCTTCTCCCTCTCCCACTCCCCCTGCTTGTGTTCCCTCTCTCGCTGTGTCTCTCTCTGTCAAATAAATAAATAAAATCTTTTTTAAAAAAATAAAAAAAAGAAATGCTCAAGCAATGTTACACTTCAGCACAATATTTCTACTTCCTGGAGGGACTAATTCTAGATACAGAGACGTCTTCCCCCATCCCTCTCTTTTTAAAGTTTTTATTTAAATTCCAGTTAGTTAACATACAGTGCAATATTAGTTTCATTTTTGTACAATATAGTGATTCAACACTTCCATACAAGACCGGGTGCTCATCACAACAAGGGCATTCCTTAACCCTTATCACCTGTTCAACCCATCCCCCCCCCCCCCTCCCCCCCGGTAACCCGGAATTTGTTCTCTATAGTTAAGAGGGAGAAGTCTTTTTTTTTTTTTAAGTAAACTCTTAAGTAAACATGGGGCCCGAACTCACGGCCCCGAAATCAAGAGTCACTCACTCTATTGACTGAGCCAGCCAGGTGCCCCAAGAGGAGTCTTAAGTATCAATAAGTTGACTGTAGCAATTTTTATGATAACCAAAATGTAGAACCATCCCAAATATCCAACAATAGGGGAATAGTTTGATAAATGGAAGTATAGCCTCTTGATAGATTATACAACAATTAAAAATACTAGCAATGAATTTATCATAAGAGAAAATGCTTATTTATAAAAATTTAATAACAGGTTTATTGAGATATAATTTACAAGTCATACAATTCACCTAAAGTGTACAATTCAATGATCTTTAGTATATTCATAGAGTTGTACAGCCATTACCCAATCAGTTTTAGAATATTTTCATCACCCCTAATATGCTTTTTTTTTAAAGAAAACTTTACACCCAATGTGGGGCTCAAACTCATGACCCCAAGATCGAGAGTTGCACATCTACTGACTGAGCCAGCCAGGTTCCCTACCCCTAATTTACTTTAAAGTTTTTATTTTTTTAACTTACTTTTGTTAACGGTACACAAAAGACACGGGTTTGTTATTACTGTGTTATCCCACTGTCCACACAACACCAGAAGAAAATACACAAAATGTTAACAGTACTTCAATGATGGGATTCTCTAATTTTCTTTTTTTTTTTAAAGATTTTATTTATTTATTTGCGAGAGAGAGAATGAGAGATAGAGAGCACAAGAGGGAAGAGGGTCAGAGGGAGAAGCAGACTCCCCGCTGAGCAGGGAGCCTGATGTGGGACTCGATCCTGGGACTCCAGGATCATGACCTGAGCCGAAGGCAGTCACTTAACCAGCTGAGCCACCCAGGCGCCCTGGGATTCTCTAATTTTCTTTTCCTTATTCCTACTTTTCCACATTTGTAAAGATTTCGTAAGCAGCGTGAGTTAATTTGCTAATGAGAGAGAATAAATTTTAATATTTAAAAATGGTAATACTGTATTACCGTTCGACTGCAAGGAACATAACACTCTGGTAAGGGGACTTAAATAAGAATTTATTTTTAATCTCATAAGAAATTTGGAGCTTAAGACATACAACATTGGTAAAAATAACCAAACATAATATGATTCTGATTCAACTAAATCAACTGTAGAAAAAATTATGATCAAAAAAATCTGAAACTGACTAGCTATTCAGTGACATTAAGAGATGTTGGGGACTGCCTGGCTGGCTCAGGTGGTAGATCATGTGACTCTTGATCTCAGGATCATGAGTTTGAGCCCCAGACTGGGTGTAGAGATTACTGAAAAAGAGAGAGAGATGTTAGATCTTATTGAGCAGCAGCAGCTATTCTGTGACCATGAGGTAAAAAGCATATGAGAAAGGCTGAGAGAATCACAAAGACATTGGCTTGCTCTCTTTTTTTTTTAAGATTTTATTTATTTATTTGACAGAGAGAGACACAGCGAGAGAGGGAACACAAGCAGGGGGAGTGGGAGAGGGAGAAGCAGGCTTCCCACTGAGCAGGGAGCCCGATGTGGGGCTCGATCCCAGGATCCTGGGATTATGACTTGAGCTGAAGGCAGACGCTTAACGACTGAGCCACCCAGGCGCCCCTGGCCTGCTATCTTTGAACTGCTGAAATTAGTTCTGCAGTTTAGGCCAGTGCATTAGCATTTAAGGCAGAACACAAGGGCTAACCACATCCCTATCCGTAAGAACAGTAAGGGAAGGGGGCACCTTGGTTAAGCGTCTGCCTTCAGCTCGGGTCATGATCCCAGAATCCTGGGATCAAGCCCCGCCATCGGGATCCCTGCTCATTAGAGAGCCTGCTTCTCCCTCTCCCTCTGCTGCTCCCCCTGCTTCTGCTTTCTCTCCTTCCCTCCCCCACTTTCTCTCTGTCAAAATAAATAAATAAAATCTTAAAAAAAAAGAAGAAGAAGAACAGTAAGGGAGGCTGGGGAGAGTGAGGGTTTGAGCTTTAGCAGCCGCTGTTTGAGACAAACAGGGGGAGAAGAGGATTCGGTACAAGAATAGGAGGAAGCAACCTACAGAGATGGTCACATGTTCTTAAAAAAGGACACTTGGTTCTTAATATAATTAAGCATTAAAAAACCCAAATGTCTCCTAGAAAGGCTGCTTTAGTGCTTTCCACTTTTGCTAATAAATTTTTGTAAATTAGAATCCTGGAATCAGTTAAAGAGACTGCACAAGGCACCTGGTTATTGCCTTACCCCTCAAGGTGTGAGTCCCTGACCAGCGGCATTAGCATCTCAGGACCTACCCTCACCTACTAAGCTGGAACCTGCATTTTCACAGGATCCCAGGATCCCAGGATTCCCACACATATTAAGGTTTAAAAAGTACTGCTGCAGTTCATCACCATCAGCTGCTTATGTAGGAAGAGTCCTAGCTCAAGCCTCAGCCAGGCTGACCCTAAGAGTTAGGCCAGAGGACCAGTGGGGTAGGTCCATCCAGAATCTATGTACTCTGGGGACTGGTTCCCTCTCTGGGAAAAAAATTTGTCTAAAAGGAAGAGACTCAAGCATACAGAACAGGAGAGAAGACATCCATCGGGAGAGCAGCGGGGGGCACCTCCATGGGCCACCCAGGGAGAAAAGGAGTGGCCACGGTTGCCCAGGGCAAATAGAGTGGGGAATGAAAGGAAATCGTTAAAACCCCCAAAAATGCACTTGCCCTGTTTTCTGAATATTGGTGATGTATTTCATGACCCTCAAGTATTTCATGACCCTCTCTTCAAGGCTCACCTTCCCCTGGTCATGTGGGGAAACTGTGCATGGGAAGTGGGACTGACTGTCCTCCCAAGACAGCGTCGTCCATAGGAAACGGCCACCACCAAGCTGACCTCAGCAGAGGGCTGGAGCAGAGAAGGCCACTTCCACCACGGCCCTGGGCCCAAATTCTTCACAGCACTGTAACTTGAGCTATCTAATAGGCTTTTCGGAAATTTCAGACATAAAGAGGAAGCTAAAGTGTGGGCAGGAGAGACGTAAGCCTACATGGGTGCTCTTCCCAACAGAGTCACTACCTGCCCCCACCCCACCTCCAGCTCCAGATGGATCCAGCAGAAGCCACGACACTGAGATTTTCTTACCCTGGGGCAAATCAAATTCTCAGGCAAGCCTCCCTCTCCCCCTAGTCTCAGTAATAGAAAGGGAATTTGTATAGAGATTTATTCTCCTCTTGTCAAGAGCAGACTCCCAGTCATCAGGATGTTGTATTTTTCCAGTCCTAACTACTCGTCTGCCTTCCCCTACAAATCCTGGAGCTGCTTGGGTTGGGGACTGTATCTTAATCATCTCTGGATCTCTTCTCCAAGTGCCGGCTTCACTCTATGCAGAACGAGCCCACTTCCTTTTTAAGCCTTTTCCAACCCAAATAGACATGTGAAACCACAAAACCAATACCCCAGATTTTGCCTCCTTTTCATCCCTGTGAGAAGTTCCTAAAATGAGCAAGCCGCTGCTGCCGAAAGGCATTCCCAATCAACCTCATTATGCAGTGTTTACCCCTGTAACAGGCTGTCATCCCCAGAGCAGCAGAGCGCTCATTCCTGTAAATGTCACTACTTACCTCCGGGGAAGACCTGCCGCCCAGACAGGGGGCTCTGTTTCTCCTGATTGCCAAACAGTTCAGCGCTGGAGTGCTGGCTGGCAAAGCCGAATCCAGCTAATTGCATGTCACAGAGGGGCGCTGGGTTTCATGGGCTTGTGTTCTGCATAGGGGGCGAGGAGGCCCATCCTATCACATGTGTGCTGTTAAAATCTCTACCCAGCCAACATCCAGGCTGGCAGATGGAAGAAATTCTTAAAATCTCTATTTCTGGTTTGCAACATTCAAAGAAACACTGTGCTACCACCTCTTAAAAATAATTGGTTAAGTACCAAGTTATTTTCATTGCCACAGTCATAAATAAAGAAGTGCTAGACCACATTATTCA